CTCCTGCAAGAGGCGTGGCCATCAGAGGCCAGTGCCAGGCATCTTGGCATTGCTCTCCTCCTGCCTGCCCTGCCGGCTAAATATACATCTAGGAGGAGTCCGGGAAGAGCCGCAGCTCCCTTAACCCCTTCCCCTCCGGCAGCGGGCGGACGGGCTGGATGGGGGAGGCTGGCATCGGAGCCCCTGCCAGCCCCAGCTCCTCATGCCAGGCCAGGAGGATGGGGTTCTGGGGTTCCCCTCGGGGGGAGGGTCAGCGGGGAGACCAGCTGTCCCCTCCCCACGCCCGCCCGGGCGGTGGAAGCGCAGGCAGAGGCGGACAGGTGGGCTCTGTGGTTCCAATCCCGGGCCAGCCACAGGCTGAGCGAGGCCCTAGCCCAGGTTCTCAGCAGGGACTGAGGGAAGTGAGGGAGGGCCGGCAGGTGGCCCCCCTTCCAGCTCCCTTACTAGTAAACAGAGGGGTGAAGGCCAGAGCTGGCCTGAGACGGAGGAGGTGGGAGTCTCTGAGAAGTGCCCTCCACCTTCCCTTCTCCCCCAAACGGCCAGGACTGGGCCGCCATCCCTCCCCCGGGCTCCAGGCTGCAGGTTGGCAAGGTCAGGGGAGAGCCATGGGGATGGGGGGCAGGGGAGACATTGGGGCGGGGGGCAGGCAAAAGGCTGTCCCACTGTGACCAGAGGGAGGAGCTCCGGGTCAGTGCAGGCGTGGGTGACCCGGGCCCTGGGTCCCCGCTCTGCCCGTGACTCACTGGGGTTTGCAGTCTCCCTCCCTCGCCTTCCTGGCCCCTTTCCCTCCATCCCTGCTGTGCAGGCCGCTGCCAAGGCCCCAGCTCCCTCTGAGGGCAGGGTGCCCAGGTGGCTGCCATGACCAGGACCCGCTGGCCAGGGGCCGAGTCAGGTGGAACTGGGCTGGAGGGGGGCAAGGGGGACCCCAAGGCACTGCCCCAGGCTCCCGGGGCTCAGAGCCCAGACAGGCCAAGCTCCCTTAGCAGAGCCTGAGGCCAAGGGAGGGGCGGCCGGACCTGCCTGGGAGGGAAGAGGGAGGAGGGCGGAGGGTGGAGGGTGGAGGGAAGGGGGAGGGGAAGGAGGGCCATGAAAGGGCCCTTCACAGTGTGCCACGCTCCTGGGGAAACCTTTCCAACCGCCAGCATGATCTGCGAGTTACAGCTGCAGCCTGGCAGATGGACGTGGCTTCGCGGCTTCAGGGCGGAGGAGGGTGACAAGGGGCACAGCTGAGCCCTCCCACCGGCTGCTCCCCGCTGGCCGTGGGCCCCAGGGCGGACAGTTTTGTGCGGTAACTTGGAGCTTCCCAGTCCCGCCTGTCCATCCTGCAGCGCCCCCTGCTGTCCGAGGCAGTAGCGACAGGCAAAAGGCAGAGTCTGCCTCACTGAGCTGCTCAGGCTGCCCCATACAAAGGAGGAAGGGCTGGGTGTACAGGGGGTAAGGAGGTGCCAAGATTCCCTGGACCAGTAGTGGGCAAACTCATTCGTCAACAGAGCCAAATATCAACAGGATAACGATTGAAATTTCTTTTGGGAGCCAATTTTTTCCCCCCAAACTTAAACCTTTTCTAACGCCACTTCTTCAAAATAGACTCGCCCAGGCCGTGGTATTTTGTGGAAGAGCCACACTCAAGGGGCCAAAGAGCCGCATATATATGAGTGTGTGTGTGTGTGAATTTAAAAATACATACAAAAACGTAAAGACACAAACTGACTCTAATCTTCCTACACCCACTACAAAGAAGAGGTGAGCCCTGGTCCATGCAGCTCACGTGGTTGAGCATTGTTCTGTGTGCTGAAAGTATGCTGGTTCGATTCCCAGTCAGGGCATGTGCCAGGGCTGGGCTTGATCCCAGGAGGGAGGCATACAGGAAGCAGCTGATCGATGTTTCTGTCTCTCCCTCTCCCTTCCTCAAAAAAAAAAAAAAAAAAAAAAAAAAAAAAATCAATAACAGCATATTTAAAGAAATAAACAATAAATGAAAATATATTTTTAAAAATACACACACAGATATGGAGACCAGAAAACAACTTGTCGCCCTAACCGGTTTGGCTCAGTGGATAAGAGTGTTGGCCTGTGGACTGAGGGTCCCAGGTTTGATTCCGGTCAGGGGCGTGTACCTTGGTTGCAGACACATCCCCAGTGGGGGGTGTGCAGGAGACAGCTGATCGATGTTTCTCTCTCATCGATGTTTCTAGCTTCCTGTCCCTTTCCCTTCCTCTCTGTAAAAAAAAAAAAAATCAATAAAATATCTTTAAAAAAACATACTTGTCAACCACCTTCCAAACCAGCGCACATCTCATCTACCCTTGGGAGGACATGAGAGATGCCTGAACAATAACTGCCCTCCAGTGTTCACAAAGACGGAGTGATGGAACAGTCCGTCCGCGGACAGATGGGACAGTGGCTGACAGATTGGCCTGGGCTGTGGGCGGGGTCGGTAAGGAGGGACTTCAGGCAGGATCCTGTTAGCCGAGCATTTGAGCAGATGGGCTGGAGAAGAGGGGAACTGGAGCCTCCTTCGCTGGAGCCATTGGGAGTTTACTGATAAAAATGCAGAGGAACAAGAGCCGTTTTCATAATACTTTCCATTTACGTACGTGCCGGGGACACACTTTTCACACTCAGCGATGGAACAGTCAGGAATGATCTCTCCCATTCACTGACGGGTTTTCCAGAAGGTTACAAAGGAACTGTCAACCTGATGCAACTTACTAGGAAAGCAGGCTATCCGTTTCCCAATCGGACGGGCCCGAGGCTGATGTCTGTAAAACGGTGACAACACTCAGGTCACAGGTGAGGCGGCTTTAACATGAACACCCGGCTCTCGCGGCTCCAAGCCCCACCTGGGCAGGACTCGGCCGGCTCCGCGGGGCCTCCCCGCCTGTCCCGGGAATCCCCGGTTTCACCAGGAGCCGGCGTGAGAATCTCCATCTCCGTGAGCACCGCTCACCTGCCCGCTGAGAGGCACCCGTCACTGCCCCATCCGGAGCTGCCTTCGTGACGAGGGTCTCCCTTATCCGGGCGCCTCTCCTCCAGGGTCCCGCGGGGGTGATGCAGGGTGGGACGACGGCCCCTCCCTGGCTGTGTCCCATCTGGTTCTGCATCACAAGGCACCTTCCTTCCCAGACAGAGCCTCCTCCTGGAGGGCTGGATGCCGGGGCGAGGCTGCGGGGTGGCCATCCCCGTTTCCCTCAGGGGTGCCTGCCCGTGCACCTCCTCCTCCTCATGCACCATCTCTGCCCATTGCACGTCTGTGTGTCCGGGGGCCGTCTGGCCCTCAGTCTACGCGGGGTCAGTCGAGGCCAGGCGGTGGCAGAAATGGAGGACTTACAGCGTCTCAATGCTCCTCTGAACGCCCGGGACCAGACGTGTCTCAGAACTGGGGGTTTTTCAGGGCGGAGACAGGTCCAGGGTGGCTACCCCAGGTGTTAGGTCTGGATCCCAGCGGCCGATCATCGCCTCCTGGCGGCCAGGATGGGTTTTGCCACCGGATGGCTCAGGGGCAAACTTGGGGAAAGCGCTCTGGTTTTGAGAGGCGCTGGGCTCTAGAATGGTGGCTGACGGGCTGGGCCTGCCTTCTCCCCCTGCTGGGAGCCACGTCCTTTCCTGGTGGGTCCTGCTCCGGGCGGGAGGAGAGGAAAAGGGGGGAGAAGCCGAGCATCGATTGTGTGCTGCCTGTAGGCCCGGCGGACAGCTGGCTCTCTCGCCTAAGTGACCCCATTAAGGGGTTGGGTGCTGGCGGGGGCCCGGCCTGCAGCTCCTGCGCAGGGGAAAGGTCAGCTCAGCCTGACCGGGAAGCAGAAAGCGGCCGCCTAATGTGTTTACCCAGCGCGGGAGCAGGTGGGAGGTCCATCTGCCAGCCTCTCCCAGCTGCGGCTCCGGGAGCCGGGGCCCTGGAGAGGCAGGCAGGGCTCCCAGAGCCCCCCAGGGCCAGTCTGGGGTCGGGGGAGCCAGCTCCTCCCTCCCCGCGGTGGAGAGAGGCCTGTTCTCGAAGTGGGGTGGGCCAGGGCGGGAGTCCTCCCTTCCTGCCGTCCCACCCGGCCCCTGCGCTGAGAGGGCATTTCCTTCTCCCACAGTCACGGCAACAATGCCACGGCCCCCCCGGAAGCCGTTCTGCTCCAGGGAGGGGTGGAGTGGAGTCAAACCAGAACGGCTGGAGCCCGAGGGGCTGCATCTCCTTAGAGCCGGGGCATCTGCCTTCAGGCACCCCCTTCCCCCAGCCCCTCCCGGCGCTCCACCTGCACATTCGGTTCCTCAGCCCAGGAATCCCGGAGGTACCTGTCCTCTCACGGATGCCAGGGAAGTGGCCAATTTAGGGCACTGGGGCCCCAGGAAATGAGGTGGGAGCCCGGCGGGCGCGGCTCAGTCGTCGAGCATCGACCCATGAACCGGGAGGTCACGGTTCGAATCCCGGTCAGGGCACTTGCCTGGGTTGCAGGCTGGATCCCCGGTGTAGGGCATGCAGGAGGCAGCCGATCCATGATTCTCTCTCATCACTGATGTTTCTCTCTCTCCCTCTCCCTTCCTCTCTGAAATCAATAAATGGGGTGGGCTGGAAACAAGTCATATTCACCCATCCTTTCATCACCCATCCATCTAGCATTGATTCATTCATTCATTCATTTATTCATTCAACCAGCATTACTGTTGCCTTCCTACTGTGCCAGGTGAAATGTCCCTCCTTATGCAATGCCCACAGCAGCTGGCACTGTTAGCCTGTGCCTGGCAGAGCCCTCTCCTTGTTCCCGGAAATGGGAATTGCTGGAAAAGCAATGCCAGCCTTGGGTAAACTGTCCTCCCCTCGACTTGGGAGGCTGTTTCCAAAGGAAGGACCCCCCCTTCCCTCTGCCCCCAGATTGCAAGGTAGGGCATGGATGAAGTTTTGTGGGCACAACCACCAAGGCCCAGTGTCCACTGGCCCCGAGCCGCACCCCCTCCCCCAAGCTCGCTGACGGGGCCTCCTCTACAGCCCCGCCCCTTCCGGGGGTCCCGTGGCCCCTCTACAGCCCCGCCCCTTCGGGGGGTCCCGGAGGCTTCAGCACGGGCTCCGCCGCGGCGCCCTCCGGCTGCGGCCCCAGGACGCAGGGCAGGTGGGCGTCGTGGACGACCTCCCGGATGGTGGCCCGGAAGGTCTTGCTGACGAAGCAGTAGAGGCCGAAGTTGGCCACGGTGTGGAGCATGGCGACCATGTTGGCCACGTCCAGCGCCAGGTGCACGCGCCAGTCGCGGTGCACGGGGGCCACGTACAGGTGGTAGAGCACCACGCAGATGCGGGGCGCCCAGAGGCCGGCGAAGAGCGCCGTGAGGCCCAGCAGGATGGCCGTGCTCTTGCCCACGCGGGGCCGCCGCCCGCCCCGCCGCCGCCGCAGCCGCCAGATGATGGCCGAGTTGGTGACCAGGAAGATGGCGCCGGGGACGAAGTAGACGGTGAGGCAGTGCGCCCACTTGAGGGCCTCGTCCAGCGTGCTGGGGGGGCCCGGGTCCCGCCACACGTCCAGCCACCAGTAGAAGGGGATGCCGGTGAGCAGGGCGGCGCCCAGGACCAGGCCGATGGCGCGGCGGGCCCGGCCCGGGGAGGCGGCCGCGCGGTGGTGCAGCGGGCGGCACAGGGCGCTGTACCGGTCGAACGTGAGCAGGACGGCAATCCACACGGAGGCGTGGACGGCGGCGAACTCCAGGATGTTGATGGTGTGGGCCACGGCCCGGGGCACCTCGCGGGCCAGCACGGCGCCCTGCAGGAGGAAGCCGCCGAACACGATGACCACCTGCGTGACGATGTCCGAGGCCGTGAGCGCCAGCAGGTAGGAGTAGGCGGGCTTCCTGGTCCGGGCGGCCAGGCGGGCCAGCGCCACCGTGGTCAGGAGGTTGACTGGTGGCAGCCCGGCCACAGAGGGGAGAGGTCAGAGGGGAGAGGTCAGAGGGGAGAGGTCAGAGGGGAGAGGTCGGAGGCGTTAGGAGGGCCACTCGGACCTGGCTCTCCCCACCTGCTTGTTCTGGCTTCTTGTCCTCTTTCCAGACTCTTCTGAAAACTCCTTATCTCAGGGGGCTGGCCAGGTCAGCCCTGTCTGTCCACCCACACTGATCCCCTCCCCGCACCTCCCTTCCTTCCCCCTCTCCCCGGCCACTGACTTCCCCCTGGACAGGCAGGGACGGGCAATTCCCAAGGCCTGGACCACCTGGCCTTCCTGCACCCGCCCCCGCCCCCGCCCCCGCCCCCACCCAGCTCTGCTCCCCGCAAGTGGTGGGCGGGACTCGGAGTTTGGCCGAATCCTGCAAGACTCAGTTGTCCTAGGAGGGTGCTCACTGCTGGGGTGGGGGGTAAGTGGGGGTTGTCTGCTCTGGTGAATCCCGGGGTTTACCTTGAGTACCCCAACTTCCGGCCCCTCACTTTTACTCCCCACTAAGCTTTGCTCCTCAGAGACCCAGATCACCCCCCTTAAAGACAAGGGGAGCCTCGGGGGTCTGTGATCCTGGGTCTCAGGGGTCAGCATAGTGGGTTGGGTCCCATCAAAGGAGCACCCCAATTTCTGGGCATCCCCCCCAGAACCCCACACCCCAGCTCCCCACTCACCAGGCAGCCCCAGGCTCAGCAGGACGCTGTAGTAGATCACAGGGATGACCCCGGCCACGCACGGGGACCTCTCCGAGGCCGCTGGCCAATGGCCTTCAAGCTCCGGGCTCGGCCCACTGCCATTGGGTGTGGGCAGCATGGCCACTCGTGGCCGGCCGGCTAGGAGGGGCGGAAGGGCGTGGGGTTAGAGCACTTGGTCTCTTTCCAGCCTGGCCTGCTAGCAGCCCCACCCTGACCCTGACCCTGACCCTGAGGTCTCTGTGCGCCCTGCTGTGTGCAGACCCCCAGAGCAGGCCCAGCCAAAAGACAGCCCTCACTGCAGAGCCCGCCCGCCCTCCGCGGCCTGGCTCCCCCGGTGACGGGAGGAAGCCCTCGGTGGCACGTTGGGCTGCCACGGAGACCATATCTCCACCACGCTGCTCCGGGTGGGTCCTCAGCCTGGAGAGCAGGAGGGGGCACAGTGAACAGGCATGCTCCCCGGCTTTGCTCCGGGCAGGCTGAGCCGGAGGGTCCGCCGAGGGCCGGGAGTGGCTGTGATTGCCTAAGTGTCCCGGTGACTGTGACCGAGCGTGACCCGCAGCAGCCGCCTGGCTCCACTCGGCACCCCCCTTCTCCGAGGAGAGACCGGACCCGGCTCCCCTCTCTCTCCGCTCAAGAGCGACCTTCCCGCCAAAGCCAGTTTGGCTCAGTGGCTAGAGCGTCGGCCTGTGGACTGAAGGGTCCCGGGTTCGATTCCTGTCAAGGGCATGTACCTTGGTTGCGGGCACATCCCCGGCGGGGGGTGTGCAGGAGGCAGCTGGTCGATTTCTCTCTCATCGATGTTTCTGGCTCTCTATCCCTCTCCCCTCCTCTCTGTGAAAAATCAATAATAAAAGTATATTTTAAAAAAAGAAAAGAAAAGAACAGCCTTCTCCTGGTGAGCACCTGGGAGCTGCAGTGGCCCCGGCTTTCCGATGGGGAAACCGAGTCCAGAGGTAAGGTGACCGCCCTGCGCCCCTCGGCCCCACTTTGGGTCTTTAGGCTTCACCTTCTAGTTGTGATTTCCTGCTGAAGCTGCCCCTCCCCCAGCCCCTGCTAAACCTGGTCCCCCCCTTCCTTCCCCCCTCCCCCCGCCACCCCCACAGGTTATTCCCCTCCAGCTCCCAGCCGGGCCTCCGGGTCTGGCACCTGCGCTTCCACCCGCCTCCCCCCGCCCACCCAGGCCTGGACCCTTTACCTGTCTCCTGCCCCTCGAGCCTCGGGCTCCGGGGTCCTGGATTCGAGGTCGCCCAGTGGCTTTCCCCGGGAGGCCCCGCGGGCCCCTCTCGGCATCGCCAGCTCGCACGCAGCTGTTGGCCGGGATTTTTCCAGCGGCACTGAGCCCTCAGGCGGAGAGGTAGGACAGGGGAGGAGGGAGGAGGAGGAAGGAAAGGGTGGGGCTGGGCCTCCGGGAAGAAGCCTGTAGAGCTAAGTGTGGCCTGGAGCAAACCTGAATCCCCCAGGGCGGGCGCCGAGGTGGGGCCGGTGCACCGCTGGGAGGGAGACCTTGGGGGGAGGGCAGGGGCGTGCTCCCCGACACTCAGGGAGCCCACCTGGGCTCCGCGGGGCTGGCACACCCCACGGGGCGGACTTTGGGGAGAAGTGGAGGGTTTGGGGAACTGACTCTACCAGCGTGCAAGAGTCCAGGCAGGTCTGCAGGGAGGGCAGGTCTGCAGGGAGGGCTGAGGGGGCCGTGCTGGGAGGGAGAGGGAGGTCACTGCGGGCCGCCCCAGGCCTGGAGAGAAGCCCTGGGCTTGGAGGACTCTTGTCCTGCAGCTGCTGCGGGCGGTGGGACCAGAGGCGGCCACAGGGGCTGTAGGCTGGGGTTGGGTGGGGTGGGGGTGAGGTGGGGTGGGGAGGGGTGGGGTGGGGGTGAGGTGGGGTGGAGTGGGGTGGGGTGGGGTGAGGTGGGGTGGGGTGGGGGTGTCCGGAGCCCTGTGCCCACGGACAGGAGTCAGCAGTGAGCAGGCTGCCAGCGGCGCTGGGAAACGGGGACCCCGTGGCCCCCGGCAAGCTGTTGTTTTCCTGGGCCTGGTGCAATGGACCATCCCTCACGGAGGATCAGCCACTGGCAAACAAACACCAGCCGGTGTGTGAGCGCTCAGGGCGGCTGCACTGCACCCTGGCCAGGCCCCACCCCCACCCCGGGGAGAGTGACCAGCGCAGCCCCGAGTGGGCACCCAGGACCACAGGGGTGACCTGGAGGAGAGCTGAGGCCCAGTCTGCCATCGCTTCCCAAGCTTGCCTCCCCCCACCCCCCAAACCCCCAACATAGCAGCCTGGCTCCCAGGTTCCCCAGCTAGATCCTTCCTCTGGGGCTGGATCTACCTTGACTCCCCCCCCCGCCCCCCCCCCCCCCCCCCGCCCCTCCGCCCACTCCCACCTCCGGGGCCACCCCTGCAGCAATCACATGTGTCTTACTGTCCCCTGGTGGCCACGTCCTGACACTGCAGGCCTCCGAGAAGCCGCCAGCTTTGGCCAGGTTGTGTGGGTTGGCATAGAGAGACCGGAGTAGAAACCACCCACTCAGGTGCCCAGGACGAGCGTCCAGGACCCAGCCCTGGAGTGCAGTGAGCTTCCAGGAAGCACAGAGCACCCCCCAGGCCGCCAGCCCCGCACCACGAGACTCGCGGTGAGCAGGAGCTACGTCCAGGCCAGTCAGATCGGCCAGCTGTGTGCGGGGCTTGGCCATTCCCTGAGCACCACTCTATCCCACACCTCCCCCCCCCCCCCCACGCTGTCTCTGGCATCTCCATTCCACACAGGAGGGCACTGTTACAAAGCGAGTCCCCAAGGGATGAACCACCGGAGCCAATTTGGTTAAGCATGCTAGAGTTTATTACAGATTCGAATCCGGGCTCAAACCTTGGCTGACGCAGCAGCCGGCAAACACCCAGGTGAGAGCCCCGATGGAGGGGCAGTCCCTCCTCTTATACCTCTTTTTCCCCTCCCATCCCACTGTTGGTCTGTCACTCCCAGATTGGCCCCTCAGGACAAAGACCTGGCCGTCTTTAGCTGTTCCTTAGGTGATTTACACAACCTGGCCTGTTTTGCTTCAAACAGAATGTCTGTTCTGACTCCCAACGGGAGTGCAGGATGCTGCGGTGTTTTATGACCCCAATTTCCCAGCCAGATCCGAGGGAGGTCTGCATGTCCCACCCCAAGGGAACTCCCGGCACTGAGTTATGACTGACTTTATTTTTTTAAACTTTTTCCCCCTGGCCTTATCTCTTGGGCAGACGGGGCCCACTGTCACAGGCACCAAGGCGCAGAGAAGCTCAGGAACTGAGGTGAGGCCGTGCACTCAGGCAGGGAAGGGTATTCAAGTCGGGGGAACAGCACAACCGGGTGCAGAGGCAGTAAGCAGATGCACCGCCCCTGACGGGACACCCTGGCTTCCGGGGAAGCGTTCAGCGGTGAGTGAGTGACTTCAGGGAAAGAGTCCTCCTTGTGCGTTATTAGTGTGGCCCCTGAGGACACGGCCCGGAGCCTAAACTCGTGACTCCCTGTTCCCCGAGCTCAGTGTCGGGGAGACCCCAGCTCAGGAAGGGAGACGGTACAGATGGCGGGTGGCTGTGGTCTGGGCAGGGCTGGCTGGAGCCCACCCTCCTAGTGGGGTGTCACTGCAGCCCAGCACCCGGTCCCCACCCTCCACCCCCCCCCCCACCCTGTGGGCTCAGAAACCCTCCCTGCTCCAAGCTGGAAAGTGTGCAGTTGCTTTTAGTCCTCGCACAACGGGGCCGTTTACGGCAACGGCGACAGCTTCCCAGAACAGCCGGCGGGGCCGGGCGGAAAGGCCGGCAGAAAAGCAGCACGTTTGCCGTTTGTGTCCCGGCTCTGCCTGTTCCTGGCCCGGAGACGAAGCCGCTCAGGCTGTAAACACTCCGGCCTGGGCCGGAAGGAGCCGTCTGGGCAGGAATTGTTCTGGCTTGAGAGCTCCTCAGACTTGCTCTCAAGGAATCGCGGAGTTTCCAGGTGCTCGGGCAAAACAAAGCGAGTGTCTCCAAGCCTCCGTCGCCAGGACCCTGCAGGCAAACGCCCTCTTTCCTCTGCTCCGGGATGCTCGCACACACGCACACGCACATGCACACACACACACGGACTCCAGCAGCCCTCAGACTGCGAAAAGGAGGAGAGAGTGCCTATTCCTAGAAGCCAGTTTCTCCATCAGCAGAGGAGCTCCGTGGATGACGGGAGTGAGAGACAGGAGGAGGGGGCATCGGGGATGGGAATGAAGGGACCCTCCCTGTCTCCTTGGTACCCGGGGCCTCTCCAATCCTTGTGCACCTGAAATGCCAACCATCCAACCGTGCAGGAGGCTGCCCCACAGAACCCTCTTCTGGGAAGACTCTGGAGTTGGAGGCGCGCACGCCGAAGCACCGTTTTCTGAGCAGGGGGTTGCTGTATCACCGTCTCTTTCTCCTCAGGGACGTTCCCATGGAGAAGTATTTCTCATGGAAACGGGACGCCCCCGCAGCCTGGACCCCCGCCGCACTGCGACTCGGTGGTGCAGCCCCGGGAAGGCAAGGGGCAGCCAGGGGCAGGACGGTGGTGTCCCGCAGGGGAACCAGGCGTGAAGGTCAGGGCAGCCGGAAGGGGTTTCCACTGGCCCAATTCCTGCTCCGTCTGAGGCACAGGGAAGGGGGGGGGCTGTTGGGTCTCTGTGCCAGCCTCGGGCGGAAATCGATGCATCCAGCTGGTCCCTGGGATCCAGAGAGCAAGGGAGGGCAGGCTCCACCCAGCCCAGACAAGCCCTGGCCTTGGGAAATACTCAGAGCCCAATCTCTGGGGAGCCCCCCCACCCCCACTTCGTTTCATCAACCTCTAAGGAGTCCCTCTCATCAAGACTGAGCCAAGCCGAAACCGGTGTGGCTCAGTGGATAGAGCATCGGTCTGCCGGCTGAAAGGTCCCAGGTTCGATTCCGGTCAAGGGCATGTACATTGGTTGTGGGCACATCCCCAGTAGGGGGTATACAAGAGGCAGGTCATTGATGTTTTTAGCTCTCTATCCCTCTCCCTTCCTCTCTGTAAGAAAATCAATAAAATATATTAAAAAAAAAAAAAAAAAAAAAACTGAGCCAAGCTCCACTCATTCCCTAAAAAGGTGAGGTCTAAACACTCCCTCTCACCCATTCCCCCAAGTCCCAGACCCCTCCCTCCTCTCCCCAGGCTCCTGACCCTCTCCCCCCTCCCCCAGGCCTCAGACCCACCTCCCCTCGCCTTTCCTGAGTTTCCACAAGCGCAGGCCTCTGCACGGACCCACGGAGGCCGTGTCCTAGCTCTCTGCCTCGGTTTCTCCTACGGGCGGGAGGAGTGCCAGGTCTGCTGGGTGTCTCCTTGGCATTCTGAGGTTGGACAGAAGCCCAGAAGAGACGCCGCACACTGAGGGGAACCTGGAGACCTCAGACCACCTAGGAAGGTGACTGAAAGGGGGGGGCGGGGGACAGGTGTGCCCCTCAGCATCTCCGGCCCCACGCCCAGGCTTGTGCTGGCGGGCGGGCGTGGGCACCCGGGATGGAGTGCCCCTGCCTGAGGCCCAGCCCTGCCGTCGTGGCTCATCTTGACCTTTTGGGGGGATGACGGTCACAGAGTGTGCCAGGAACATTCTCCCACGAAAAAGCAAAACAGGAAGGGACACCAGTTACCCATGAGCCCCTATGTGACACCCTTGCCCTCCTCGCTGACCCACCCCAGAATGGGAGAGGGGCGAGGGGAGGGTGGGAGCCTGAGCAGCCTGGTCCCTGCCCCCTCCCAGGCGCTTCCTCCGCTGCCTGGCCTGGGTACCATGGTACCCCGGGCCGGGATGCTGCCAAGGGCGCTGGGCCAGAGCAGAGGCTGCGCCTGGGCTTGGGGGAGGGGCAGGGGACCCTCTGGGCCAGCGCAGGCAGCCCTTGCCTGGCCCTGGAGAGCCCGACCCCCCGGGAGAGGGAGGACCGGCTCTGCGGGTGGGAGGTGGGGGGAGGGCGCCGGATCTGCCCCGCTCAGGGGCCCGGGGCAGCACAATAGCTCCTGGGCTGCCACTCTCTGGCTTAAGAGGTTGCCTGGGCAACAGCTGGGGCCAGTCCCCACCAATCCATGGCGGAGGCCGGGTGGGGGAGGGAGGCTGGTCCGGAAGGGGGTGCCATCCCCTTGTGCTCCGTCCTATATAAGGAGGAGGGGTGTGAGAGGAGTGGTCTGGCTTCACCGTCCTGCCAGTGCCCGTGGGGGAGGGGCGCCAAGATGCTGAGGCTGGGCCACACTGCGCCCGGGGCCTGGGGCGGCTTCTGGGCCGTCCTGACCTTGGTGGGCCTGGCCGCTCGGGCAGGTGAGTGAGGGGGGGGGGGGGGGGGGGGGGCGGGGGGGGCAGGGAGGAGGGGCGGGGGGGGCAGGGAGGAGGGGCTGGACCTTCCGGCCCTCCCTGCACAGTGGCGGGAGGGGGTGGGGTCCAGTCCACCGGGAGGAGCAGAGTCCATTCCGTCTGGGGGGAGGCCAGCCTGCCTCTGAGGGGAGGAGGGGCAGGCCGATGGGCGGGGCCAAACACAAGCAGACCTTCCACTGCCCATTGTCCCAGGCAGCTGGCCTGGGCAGAGGCCCGTGGGGTGCCATCAGCATTCAAGTCCTTCCAAGTGACAGCCTGGGGGGCGGGGCTGGGAAACGAACCTTCTCCTCCCTCCCCCCTCCCTTTCCCCCTCAGTCTCCCCTTCCTTACACACTCTCCTGTGAGCCTTCTCTCCGGTTTCACACAGGCTGTGGGCCTGGGGGTGGGCGCGGGGGAAGGAGGAGGGATGGCAGGCGCCGATCTTCTGCAGTCGGATGCCCTCCTTGCCTCCCGAGAAGGTCCCCCCCACACACACCCCTTGGCTTGGAGAGCTGCTGGCAGCATTATCTGCTGCCGAGTTTCCTGTAAATGTGTCCGTGTCCCCATCTGACCCTCATGGCGTCCCTGGAAACACGGCAGGAGGGCCCAGCCTGGAAGGGGGACGCCAGCCCCCACCCGCAGGTGCCAGCGACTCTCACCTCCCTGGTGGGTCACAGTTGAAAACTAGAGTGCCAGCCTGCGCATTTACTGAGCTCTGAGAGAAGGGCTTGGCTCGTTTTGATCGCAGCCATATTCCAAGCTCCCCAGAGAGTGTCTGACACAGAGCAGGTGCTCAGTACATCTCTGCTGGTGAGTGCGTCACTTCCGCGGACTCCTCCGGAAGTGAGGGGTTCTTCAACCCTGGCCTAGGGGTCTGGCATCATGGAGATCCGTTCTGGGCATTCTGTCTCCCCCTGGTTCCTGCCCTCTCTCCTCCTCTCCAAGAGCATCCCCCCAGGGTCTGCTCAGGGTCAGGTTCACGGCTTTCCCCACCACTTGTGCTGTGCATGCACGCATAGGAATCCATGCAGCCCGTGGGCACAGACACGTGTGCGCACAGCCTCCCAGGCCCGTTCTCAGGCCCCCTCATCTCCCGGGGACCGGCTGTTTGCCCGGGCCACACTCCCAGGCCCAGGTGCCCCCGCAGACGGCCTGTGTTCCTCTCGCTGCAGCCCAGAGAGCCGGCGTGGGGGGCGAGGCCGCGGGCACCTCCATCAACCACTCGCAGGCGCTGCTGCAGCGGCTGCAGGAGCTCCTGCGCCAGGGCAACGCCAGCGACGTGGTGCTGCGGGTGCAGGCGGCCGGCACCGACGAGGTCCGCGTCTTCCACGCCCACCGCCTGCTGCTGGGCCTGCACAGCGCGCGGTTCCGGGAGCTGCTGAGCAACCAGAGCGAGGTGCTGCTGCAGGAGCCGGGGGACTGCGCCGCCGTCTTCGACAAGTTCATCAGGTGGGCGGGGCGGGGCGGGGCCGGATTGGGGGCCTCCATCCTCCCCAAGCCCCAGGCACCCCCACTCAGGGAGTCCCGGAGGCCCTGGCCCTTCGGTCCATCTCCCGCGTGTCATTGGGGCGAGGATGCTACCACCTCCTGCGTCCCTCCTCCTCTGTTCTCTTTCCTGCGAGTGCAGCGACCCCCTGCCCCTGCCCACAAGCTGCAAGCGCAGGGGTTTGACATCTGTTACCGGAGGCCCTCAGAGCTGTCTCCAAACCTGCCGGGAGAGCTTTTAAAACTAAGGTTCCTGGGCCCCACCTGGGTCGTTGGCTTCGGGTCTGGGGTTGAGTCGTCACTTAAAAAAAAAAAAAAAGCCTTCATACGGTTTGCTGTCCAGCCAGGTTTGGAACCACCACGGGGTGAGGGAGCTGGGAAAGCTCGCCAGCTCTCCCCCTCCTGCCTCCCACCAACGCACCGCACACGGGGTGCCACGCACACGCTAGCCTGAGGAGGTGACCCTGTGTTAATGGCTCAGACAAGATGGTCGCCAGGATCCCAGCCATCACGTCCAAGATCTAGGCAGCAGGAAGGGGGGAACACAGAGGGGCAAAAGGTTCTGCCCTCCGCTCCCCTCAGGTGGTCCTACTTCACCAGCCTTCCCGAAATCCCACCCTGCCCCGCTGCTGGCATCTTATTGGCTAGAACTTAGTCACATGGTCACCCTCACTGCGAGGGAGCCTGGGAAACCTGCTTTCTTCCCAGCTGCAAACATGCAGAGCTGACATGCAGGGAGAGGGGAGATGTGGGTGTTGGGGCCTCTGGGTGTGTGCCAGTGGGGACTGGCAGGAAAGGCAAAGCGGGGAGGAGGGCTGGCAGCAAGGGGAGAGAGAATGAGTGAGCAAGAGTGAGAACAAGCATGGGGTTGACCTGTGTGGCCCCCTGCTTTGTAGCAGGCACCACTCACTCTCCAATGGGCACCATGACCCAAGGGGTGGGTGTTATTCCCCCCTTCTAGGAGTTTGACATAAGGTTGAGCCGTGAGTGGAGTTCAAGGACGTGTCCACGCATAGCTAATAGCGGATAGGACCTCGGTTCTGCACCCACAACGGAGCACAGAGCTCGGCCGCTAGTATAAGGTGACCAGACGTCCCGATTTTAAACAAATTGACAAATTGTTAAAAATCGGGGCGTCTGGTCACCTTAGTCTAGTAGCTGCTCAATAAATACACGCTAGTCCTGTGTCCCCACGAGAAGCGGAAAGAGGAGGCTGGGAGCAGAAAGGGCGTGAGAGGAACGGACAGGAAGCCTCAGGACCCACCGCTCGGTGTGTGCCTCTGACCACGGAGCTCTGCACCCGCGGCCAGGGCCCCTCTGGACTCAGAACGCGCCGCAGCTGGCCCTGCCCCGACCCCGCCCCTCTCCGCGCTCTCCCGCAGGTACCTCTACTGCGGCGAGCTGGCGGTGCTGCTGGCCCAGGCCATCCCCCTGCACAGACTGGCCGCCAAGTACGGCGTGGCCGCCCTGCAGCGCGGTGTGGCCGACTACATGCGCGCGCACCTGGCGGGCGGCGCGGGCCCGGCGGTGGGCTGGTACCACTACGCGCTGAGCACCGGCGAGGAGGCGCTGCGCCAGAGCTGCCTGCAGTTCCTGGCCTGGAACCTGTCGGCGGTGGCGGCGAGCGCCGAGTGGGGCGCCGTGAGCCCCGAGCTGCTGGCGCAGCTGCTGGCGCGCTCGGACCTGGTGCTGCAGGACGAGCTGGAGCTGTTCCGCGCGCTGGAGGCCTGGCTGGGCCGCGCGCGGCCGCCCCCCGACGTGGCCGAGCGGGCGCTGCGCGCCATCCGCTACCCGATGATCCCGCCGGCGCAGCTCTTCCAGCTGCAGGCGCGCTCGGCAGCCCTGGCGCGCCACGGCCCCGCGGTGGCCGACCTGCTGCTGCAGGCCTACCAGTTCCACGCCGCCTCGCCGCTGCACTTCGCCAAGTTCTTCGACGTCAATGGCAGCGCCTTTCTGCCCCGCAACTACCTGGCGCCCGCCTGGGGCGCCCCGTGGGTCATCCCCAACCCGGCCCGCGACGACCGCAGCACCAGCTTCCAGACGCAGCTGGGCCCCAGCGGCCACGACGCGGGCCGCCGCGTCACGTGGAACGTGCTCTTCTCGCCGCGCTGGCTGCCCGTGAGCCTGCGGCCCGTCTACGCCGACGGCCCGGGCGCCGCGCTGCCCGCCGCGCGCCCCGAGGACGGCCGGCCGCGGCTCGTGGTCACGCCGGCCAGCAGCGGCGGCGACGCGGCGGGCGTGAGCTTCCAGAAGACGGTGCTGGTCGGGGCGCGCCTGCACGGCCGCCTGCTGGTGCGCCACGCCTACAGCTTCCACCGCAGCAGCGAGGAGGCGGGCGACTTCCTGGCGCAGGCCGACCTGCAGCGGCGCAACTCCGAGTTCCTGGTGGAGAACGCGCTGCACCTGCACCTCATCGTCAAGCCCGTCTACCACCCCCTCATCCGCACCCCCGAGTAGCCGGGCGGCGGGGCCCGGAGCCTGGGGGCTGGGCCATAAAGGCCTGGCCTGGATGGGGCCGGAGGGACCGGCAGGGGCTTTGCGAGAGGTGGTGCGTCCACCGCCCCCTGGGTAACCAGGTGCCCGTGGCGTCAGGGGGAGCCCAGGTGAGGGGCGGTAGACCAGATGCCTGGTTTCACAAGCTGACTCCGCAGCTGACTTGAAGATGATGCTTTGGTTGAATAAACAGATGCTCGGAGAAGCGAGGGATGATTGAACCATCCAAACGCTGGGAAAAATTAGCCCAAGAGAGGGGGTTCCCTGTGTTTCATTAGCTTTCCCCAGGCTCCGCCCCCCCGCCCCCATGGAACAGGGCAGACAAGAGCATCTGAATAGTCAGGACTATGGGCCAGCTGGGGAGGGCGACTCCATTCCCAGTTTCTACAACTTGAAGCTTTCGCGTGGCAATTTCTGAGCCTGGACTTCCCGGGGTAACCGTTTGTTTCATTTAGGTTGCGAGGCTTTCTGTGGTCCGGGGCACCCCAATTTCCGACCGCCCTCCTGGGAGGAAGCCAGGGCAGGTGTGATGGGGCATGACACCTGGGAGGGGCCTCAGGGTTTCTAGGTTGGTGCCATGCCCCCAGCCAGGGTGAGATGGGGGTGCGGGGAGGGAGGGACACCCAGTTTCCAATAAGGTCTAGTTTCCAACGCAACTGTCAAGATCCAAATGGGATTTTACTGTTAAAAAGGAAGCCAATGCCAAGTAAGGAAACCAGACACCCTCCCGCCCCCCATATACGAACCATCTGCTGGCCCTTCCCGCCAGCCAGGAGGCCCAGCCTGCCCCAGGTGTGGGCCCCGGAGCCCCGTCCCGCTACCCACTCCCCCTCTCCCCCTTTCCCAGGCCCAGTCTGGCCACAGGTCTGTGCAGTTTGGGCAACAGGGTTCCACTCAAGGTGGGGAGCCGAGGAGCCTTGTCATCCGGCCTGCCTCCTGGGCCCGCCTCCCTGCCCTGTGGCACTGCCCACTCGAAGGGTTGGGCAGACACCCTGGTAATTCCTGGGTCCCGGGAGCCCCGGCCTTCTGCCATCCTAAGCTCCTGCCTCCAGGTCACCCCCGCCTGCCAGCCTCCATCTCCCATTTCCCACTGCACCCCACTCAGTCCTTGGGGGCAGGAGGGCGGGTTCCAGACTGGGCCCCTCAGTTATGCCGGAAGCGTCCATCCTTGCCGTGGGTGCTGGTGCCGTGGGGCAGGCGGGGCCCGCGGGTAGCCCGTCGGGAAACGCCAGCCGGATTGGAGGGAGCAACGAGGGGGGAGGAAACCCCTGGGCCTGAAACGGGGAAGGGCCGGAAGCAGGGGTCAGGAACGCTTCCCCCGCCCCTCTCTCATCACCCAGTAGCCTCGAACTCCCCAGGGGCACCGCCCCGAGATGCCAGTCCCACACACAGTATTCTGCAAGAACCCCGTTTCCAGCCAGGGCCGGCCATGGAGGCAGACAGCTCGGCATGCCTCCTGTGTGGGCAGGCCACAGGCTCCCCTCCCCCGTCCCTTCTTGCTGGGACTGACCTGTGTTCTGCCTTGGCGGGAGTTTGACCTTGGGCAAAGGCAGCGCGACCTTTCCCAGATGCCGGACGCCAGGGGCTGGGTGCCCGCACACTGGCATCCTGTGGTCCGAGATGCTCTCCAGGGGGCGGGGCCCCAGGAGGTGTGTCTTGGGGCAGGAGAGCTGTGTTGGTGGGAGAACAGTAAGGCCCGAGCTGCGGGGATGTGCTACGGGGATCTGCCCCCAGCTATGCGGTACAGAGGGCCAGTCGGGGGGACAGAGGGCCAGACTGGGGGACAGAGGCGCGGAGGGTGGTGCAGATGCTCTGAGCCTCTGGAGGAACCCAGCCCTCAGGCCCCCACCCACAAAGAAGGGGCCCAGACACCCCACTCCTAGCCTCACCCTTTGCCCGGTGACCTCAAAAGACCGGGACCTCCGCTTCCTCCTCTTTGCCTCCAGCGACTCCTCTTGTTTCTTGCCCAGGCTTTTCTTCTGGCCCCTCAGCCAGGGCCCCGGGCCGTCGTCTCGATGCCCGACCACCGGGGGCGGGGCCTCGCCGGTGCTGCTGGACAGGTTGTCCTCGCTGGCGGCGTGCTGCAGCGTGGGGCTGGGCGGCCGCTTGCAGGCCAGGGGGCCTGGCGGCCGGGACTCCTCCGCCTCGCTCAGCGAGTGCAGGGACAGGGTGCTGCGCTCCATGGCCGGTGCCAGCAGGTGGCGCCCCTCCATTCCCGGGGCCCTCGAGCGCCTCCGGGCAGCCTTCACCGAGATGCACTTGGTGCCTGTCAGAATCTCCTTCCTCTCTGCAGCGGACAGAGGGGGCGCCCACCCCGGGATCAAGGCCCCATATTCCTCTCCCTTCTGCACCTCCAACAACCCCCCTCCCCCAAGGCAGGAATGGGTAGGAGCCAGGATGTCTGGGTTTCACTCCCAGCACCCCCACTTGCTTGCCATTTAAGAAGCCTGGGGCATATTCCTGAGCCTCGCTTTCATCTCTAGCCCTGAGGGGGTAAAGGAACCCCACTGGGTGGTTGTGAGCATTAACTGAGACAGTGGGCTTAGCCTCCGGCAAGGGGCATGGATTCCATCTGTATTTGCTGCTGCATTTATTCCTCAGAGGAAGGGGGGCCATATGTCCCCCCTTCTGACTTCTGGCTGTGCCCCCAGTTCTGTGTGCCTGGCGGTTAACCCTCTGGGGGCACTGGTGCCTGCTTCCTGGAATGGGCAGCTTCAGCAGAGCAGAGGGCAGGCAAGGGCGCTCTGCTGGGCAGGCTGGGGGCACACCTTTGTGGGACAAGGGGATCTCCGACAGGTTCTCGCTGCTGTCCGGGGAGGAGATGACGCGGCTGCTCAGGCTGACCAGGCTGTCCTGAGTGGGAGCCTGCGGACAGGTGATCGGGGGGTCAAAGGAGACCCCACGCCCCACTCAGCAGACAGCGGGGCCTCAGGGGTGGCGGCCGCTCTGGAAAGGCACCATCCTGGCCACTGGGCATCCACCCTGTGCCCACCCTCAGCGAGAGCCCGCGGGGCCGAGGGTGCTGGGTGCTCAGTGCTCACCTCCTGGGTCACCAGGTGGCCGATCTGGATGGGGGGCGGGGTGGGCACAGAGGAGCCTTTCGCCTGCCACGCCCGGGGACTGGCCTTGAGCGCGTGGCTGGCTTCACTGAGGTTGGCGGGAGAGGATGGGCACCTGATGACCCAGCTGGTCCCACAGAGAGCCCACCCCCCTGCTGGGGGAGAGCTGCTCGCAGGAAGGGAGAGAGAACCCGGGAGCCCTCGCTCCAGACCCGCACCACCTCCTCCCCGTTGCTCCTGCCCCCCCCCCCAGCAGCCCCGCTCTGGGCGGGCACCCTGAGGTGGCGCAGACAGGGGCCCACCTCTCCGTGCTGAGGGGCGGGAGGATGCTGTGCTGCAGGCGCTGGGCTTCGGAGCTCAGCGTCTTCACGCTCTCCAGGTCTGCCTCGGGGGTCAGTGTGCTTCCTGCTGGGACAATTTTGGGCAAGGAGCTGTCCTGGGGAGGGAGGGGGCAGGAGTGGACAGTCAGAAGACGTGGCCTCGGACCAGATAATAGCACAAAGGCAAGGCCCTCGGGAAAACCCGGGCTGAAATATGGACTGGGAGCCCCCCCTCCCCCGAGGGCAGTGTTCTGGGTCCCAAGGGGGCAAGCTGTGGCTGGTGGGCATCCCCAGGGGCAAGGCTTTGGGTGGGGTAGGAAGGAAAGGGGGCAGCTTCCTGGGGTGTGAGCCAGCCTGGACCCCCGGAATGCCTTGGGCATCGGCCCCTCCCCCAGAACATGCCCGGCGCCCACCTGCAGGGCCCTGGAGGCCACGCGGTCCATGATGGTGGCCCGCTCCAGGCCGCCCTCCTCCAGCTCCCGCAGGTACGCCTCATAGAGCTCCTCCAGGTGCTGGGGGACCGCCAGGCTGTAATCTGCGGCGGGGGGAGGAGGCGCAGGGCTCAGGCGGGTCTCTGGACCCCTCGCCCTTGTAGGGGGGAGGGGAGGAGGCAGGGGCGGGACCCACCGTCGATGACCTGCCGCTGGCCCTGGATGATCTCGTCGCAGAGCGCGCGGTGCTGCTCCAGGCGGCGCAGGGCCTCGCGGCGGTGGCGGAGCGCCCCCTCGCGGAGCAGCGCGTGCGACTGCATGGCCGCGTTGTCCACCTCGAGCTCGTGCACGCGGCACAGCAGGCTGAGCACCTCGCGCTGCTCCTCGGAGCCGATGCGCCCCGGCAGCGTCTCCTCCAGGCGGCGGCCCCGCGAGCTCAGCTCCCGGCAGCGCTGCTCCAGGGCCAGCTGGGGGCGGGGGCGGCGGGGCTCAGTGCCGGGCAGCAGGCCAGGACCGCCCCCTCTGGCCCTGCTGGTCCTCGCCCCTCATGTCCCGGGACTCCCGGGGGCTCCGTCCCGAGGTCCCCGCCCTCAGCGCTGGATCGTGGGCCTCGCAACCAGGGGCTACTCCTCTCGGGACCGCCTCTGGCTGCTCTGAGCACACACTGCCCTCCCCGCAGCCCAGCGGGTGCCCTGAGAGCCCTGGGCTTGGGGCTTCTCCAGAACATTCGGCAGAGAGCCGTCATCAGGGAACCCCGAGGAAACACTCGGTGCCATTTTTGGAATCCTCGGACTGTGCCAGGCATGTCTGTCATCTCCTCCGCAACCCGCCGAGGCTGCACCCTGAGCCTCTCACTGTGCAGGCGGGGAGCTCAGGGGCAGAGGTCACCAAGGAACTTAGCCAGATCCCAGGGTCTCACTCCACCCCCCTCCCCCAGCTCTGCCCCTCCCCTCAGCCCCCCCCCCCTGGAACCCGCTCTCCCCGCCCCCAAACCCCGGCACCTTCTGCCTGCGCAGCTGCTTCTGCTCGCCCACCAGAGCCGCGATGCTCTCCCGGGCCGAGGCCACCTCGGGCGGCTCCACGATGTCGGGCTGGTCCTCGCCGGCGTCCGAGTCCTTCTCACTGTCGTCCTTGGTGTAGGATCCCTTCCGCTGCTCCTCCCGCCACTTGAGCGCCCGGCGCGACTTCTCCTGCTCCCAGCTGCCGCCGCCCCAGCCCCACGCGGAGCCGCGGGTCCGGCCACGGGAAGGGGCGCAGTGAGCAGCTGCAGCTCCAGCCGCGCTGGCCCGGCCCCGGGGTGGGAGGGGAGGGGAAGGTCCGGGGGTGGGGGTGGTGGTGGTGGTGGGGTGCTTACCCGGCGATGGTGAGCAGGTGGCGGGACGTGTCGAT